CCTGAGTGGTAGAGATTGCAGTTAGCTGAGATTGCACCACTGCACTACAGCCTGGGTGACAGAGCCAGATCCTGCCTCAAAAAGAAAAAAAAAGAAAGGGAAGAGAAAGAAAGAAACTAAAAGAAAGAAAGAAAGAAAGAAAGAAAGAAAGAAAGAAAGAAAGAAAGAGAAAGAAAGAAGGCGTCGATCAAATCCCTGTATATAGGGTGGGACTTGGGGAAACCCAGCTGCCTTTCCCCAGGGGTCCTCTGCACCTGCCCACCTAGTTGGAGTCCCCGAGGTTCTCATGGGGACATCTCGGGCCTTGCAGGAGGGGGATGGGCAGGATGGCAGGGCCAGGGGCCATGTGGGATGGAGCTGGAGCGCTTGGGCATCCTCTCAGCCACAGTGGGGTTGTGATTCCTGTCACTCAGAAGCAAGGTGAGCCGGCTCAGAGTGGCTGACAACCGACTGTCTGGTTGGCAAAGGCGGTTACCAGGGTCTATTTTACAGATGAGGAAACCGAGGGTGAGACAGGGCGGTGACTTTCCCGTGGTGATCAGCTGGGTGGTGCCAGAGCCAGCGTCTGACCAAGCCCCAGTCTGTTTCAGGTCCTGTGATCTCCCCACGTCCTCACAGTGACCCATCTGTGCCTACACACGTGCACTTCTGTCCTGGGCACAGCCCCCCCAACCTCTGCAGGGCCCAGGGCTAGAATCAAGATGTAGACATAAGAAGAGGCAGGAAGGTGTGTACAATCATCAACACAGATGCTGGTTGGGTGCGGTGGCTCACGCCTGTAACCCCAGCACTTCAGGAGGCCATGGCATGGGATCACCTGAGGTCAAGAGTTCAAGACCAGCCTGGCCAACATGATGAAACCCTGTCTCTACTAAAAATACAAAAAATTAGCCAGGCATGGTGGCAGATGCCTATAGTCCCAGCTACCTGGGAGGCTGAGGCTTGAGAATCGCTTGAACCAAGGAGGTGGAGGTTGCAGTGAGCCGAGATCACAACACTGTAATCCAGCCTGGGTTACAGAGCAAGAATCTGTCTCAAAAAAAAAAAAAAAAAAAAGAAAACAGGCTGGGCACAGTGACTGACGCCTGTAATCCCAGCACTTTGGGAGACCAAGGCGGGCAGATCACCTGAGGTTGGGAGTTCGAGACCAGCCTGACCAACATGGTGAAATCCAGTCTCTGCTAAAAATACAAAAATAGCCGGGCTGGTGGCACATGCCTGTCATCCCAGCTGAGGCACGAGAATGGCTTGAACCTGGGAGGCAGAAGTTGCAGTGAGCTGAGATCGCACCATTGCACTCCAACCTGGGCAACAAGAGCAACGCTCCCTCTCAAAACAAAACAAAAAAACAAAACAAAACAAAACAGAAAAAGAAAACAGAGGCAACAGAAGCAGAACCTCAGATGTCAAGATGTGGGTGTCAGCAGAGAGATGACTTAAAAATAACTCATCAACATGTTACTAAAAACAGGAAATGCTGTCTAAAGGGCCGTCTACAACTCCTGTATCAGAGGAGAGGCTCCTGCTCCAGGCCTGCCATACGGCGTTTGCCCTTTCAGGCAGGGACGCCACCGCCTGGGTCTTTGGTTCTCGTCCTGGTCTGGCTGTTCTCCCATGAACTGCGTCTGTTCTGTGACTGCTCCGGGCATTCCTCCTAGTACAAACTACTATACGGTTGTATGGAAGGATTCTATAAATCAGCACTAAATGTGTCGGTACAGCTCCGACTACGATACCTGTGTGATTATATAGAACTAAGTAGCTATAAGTATTAAGTATGATTATATAAACTAGATATATGTAAGCAATAAGTTATACTTTAAGCACTAATTCTATAAACGAATAGATGATTACATACGAAGGATGATATAAAGGAAACAGCTGAGTAATAACACTATAAACTAAGATATTCTTCAGGCACTAATTGTGCCTGGGGTCTGGACAGTTCTCCTTCCTTGGTGCCCATGGGGGGTGTCACCCACAGACCTGGAATACGCCGGTGCCTTGATTTCTCCAGAAATGTGAGAAGTCTTTAGAAGCCACCTAGTCTATGGTAGTTTTTTTTTTTAATAGCAACCTTAATAGACTAAGACACCCTCCCACCTTCAACAGCTGCTGAGTGGACAAGCTTAAATGAGATGACTGTTTTCACGTATGAGGCACCAGGCAGCCCAGGGGTGCCGGCGAAATCTCAGGGCGAATCCCTTTGGCTTCTCATAGGCGCAGCACCTCCTGTGTATGAGGCAATCCTCCACGAGCGTCGCGTGGCCCCCACCTCTCACAGGGCGTGCCAGGAATGCAGGCCCTGAGCACCCCCCCCATTTCGCAGGGCGGTTTTCCCTGAGTGCCCCAGGGACAAAGAGCAGCTTGCTCATTGCTTGCTGCAAACAGCCGAGTCCCCCCCGCAGGGCTCCTCCGTGGCCATGCAAACCCACTGACTGCGCAGTGCCCGCCCAGCCCCACCCACGTGGTACCTGTGGAACCTGGGGGCAAAGAGAGAAGACCAAACACACAGGTGAGCACCTGCCTGCCGTGCCATGAATGACAAAGTCCTTTGTCTCTGACCCTGGAGTTTCATATCTTCTGTCAGCTCCCTGACGCAGTAACAGGCCAGCTCTTCCCTTGTAAGAAAGCTAAAACCCAGTCCCAGAGCTGACACCACCCCCCGAGAGGGAAGCACTCTTTCCTGCCCCTCAGACAGCCTCCTTGGGCACATGACATGCTCTGGCCAGCGGCATGCGAGTGGAAGTGACACATCCCAGCTCTGGGTGGCCCCTGGGAGAGCGTGGCGTGGTTTACCCATCTCCCCTCACGTCCTCCCTGTCAGGAGAATGCCATGTTCCAGACAGCCAAAGCTCGCTCAGCCTGGACCCCAGAATGAAGGAGGCATCAGGAGCTGAGCCAGCCTGTGGCCAACGAGAAACATGAGTGGGAGGTGAAACTTGGTTGCTGTGACTGACAGAGGCTTGCGGGAGAGCTGACCACCACGTCACCGATGACAGAACGCCGACGGGTGTAGGAGCTGTCTCCTGAGGATGTCTGCACTGAATTGTGTTACACCTGAGAAGAAACCTGTCTATTTACTTTAAATTGTGTGGGCCGGATACGTACAGTACGTGGAGCTAGGATGCCACCCCAAAATAGGCTGTTTTGGCATATTCACTATTCGGAGTTCGAGGAGGTTAAAGAAATAACAGGTGCGAAAAGATCGTTCTGATTTCTTTTCTGTTTCTTAAAAGCAGAAGATGGAAATTCCCATGGGAAAGATGCTCTCCCTACACTAGAAAGCTCTGATGCTCAAGGATGAGAAGCTGAGACCAGCGAGCGCTGTGCGGCCCCTGATTAAACGACTCACCTTTCCAGCCTGCCCATGTCATCTAGCAGCTTCCTCAAACCTCACTGCTCTCTGTCCAGTTCAGTACCTCAGTGACTGAGTCTGCTTCTCTGGGTCTTCATTTCCTCCTGAGGGCTCCCGAGCCACACCCGACTTGAATCAAATACACTGGCATGATGACCTGTCTTATCTGGATTTAACTCTTGGGCCCAGCCAGGACCCCAAAAGGATGGAGGTGGAGTTTTTCAGCTCCTACATATGCAAACACATACACGGCTTCCCAGCGTCCTGACCCCTCTGCTCTGCAGCACTGGTGCCCGGAGGCTGCAAGCTTCTTCCCACTCTCCTCTGCCCGGCTTCCTGGGAGGCTCCTGCAACCGACGGCATTGGTGGGAGATGCCAAGAGAGCTGATCTCACATTCTTGTTTCTGGAGATGTCTCTGAAAACGGCTGAATCCCATCGGGGATCCCAGCTTCCCAGGAGGTGGCAGCCCCTCCTGCATAGCCCGAGACAGCAGGGGGCTCTTCCTGAACACCTGGGGAAGGTAGAGGAGTCCCCTCCTGCTCAGCCCCAGACGGCAGAGGGGCCCCTTCCTGCACGGCACGGTCGAGGAGCAGCTCAGGTCTCCGGGGGCTGCACTCCTGGGCTCTGGAGCTGCCACGGGTCCTCACTCCTCGTGCCTCCGCTTCCTTGTTTTGCTTTCTGCCCTTTCTGACATAGTAACACTTCTGTCTGGACCCTCACCACTCCAGCAACCTCTCCCAGGGTGAGGGCACAGGTGGAGGCAGCAGCACCCCTCCTGGGCCCCCGTTTATTTGGGGTCCTGTGGAATACAGTGTGGGGTCTCCCCCTTCCTTCTCCAGCCCGTCCAGGCACCCGGAGCTGTCCTGGAGCCTGGGGAGTGAGGCCTAGTGCCAGATCAGACTCTGCCAGGCTGGGCCCACCCAGGTGGGAGCCCAGGCTGGGTGAAGCTGTGACTCGGCCCTCGCCCCGCCTCGGCGATAAAAGCTATCACAGGGCTGCAGTGGGAGGAGCAGGACGCCTGTGCCGGGTGCTGGACCGCGGCGCCCTTCTGGGAGCTGTGCTTATCTCTCTGGGTCCATTTTGCCCTAGTTTGGGGGTGAAAGCTGATATGCAAGCCACATGAAACGAACAGCATTTTATGATTAAAGACAACTCGTGCATGTATAATTGAGATACCGCTGCATTTGCGGGGACTTTGAAGCCAAAATCAGACCACATGGAAAGGCTAAGCCCTCGAACCCCCACTGCTGGGATCCCCGCCCCGCAGTCACCCACGCTCGCCCCTTCCCCTCAACCCTGAATCCAGCTCAGTCACACGCGAGCCTGCAGGGAGACCCCCACCGCTCCCGGGACCACCCCTGGTCCCGCCCCCCCCCCCCCCCCCCCCCCCCCAAGCCTGCTGCCCGCCCCCCGCCCCCCCCCCGATCACCCCTCCCCCCGCTGCCCGCCCTCCCTCCCCCCCCGCGCCCCTCCCCCGCGCGCCCCTCCCCCCCTGCGCCCCTCCCCCGCGCACCCCTCCGCCGCCTTCCGCCCAGCTCTGCTCCCCGCCGAGGGCGGGCCAGGCTCGCATATGGAATGAGGTGGGCGTTTCCTTCCAACTCTGGGCCCCAAAGGGGAGGCGGGGCTGGGGGCGGGACCGGGATGCAGACGCGGGACAGCCCGGCCGGGAGTGAGGAGGCGGGAGGGATGCGAGCGGGCGGCGGCGGGATTTGGCGCTGCGATCTGCGGGCTTGGCCTGGAGCGGGCGGGAAGACCAGGCGGGACTAGGGGCGAATCCCACGGGCGGAGCGGGGCTTGGGTTGCGGGCCAGGGTTGGGACCCGGCGAGCTGCGGCCATCTTGGGGGCGGGGCCTGGGGCGGAGACTAGCACCTCCCCAAAGGGCGGGGCCTCTGCGGCAGCAAGAGGCGGGGCCAGGTCATCTCAGGGAGGGGGTGGGGGGTAGGGGGGCGGGGCAGGTCATCTCGGGGCGGGGCCAGGTCATCTTGGGGCGGGGCCTGGAGCTGGATCTGGGAACCAGGAGCTGGGAACCATGAAACGGGGTGGGTCGCGGGTGCCCTGAGCACTGTGGACCTTGCCCGCGTGGGCACATGTGTCCTGAAGCATGTGGTGACCGGGGAGGTGAGGCTGGGTGGACGCAGGACATGGTCGCCCTGGCAGCGAGGGGGTGGTGGGGCCACGTGTGGGTAACCCCCCATGTAGGCACCAAGGAATGAGAGCTAAGCAGAGCCCTGGCACAGTTAGGGCTTGAGGAATATCTCACTTTATAGTGTTACTACTCGGGTATTTCCTTTTATATAATCCTTTACATAATCATATGTTAGTTTACAGAAATAGGGCTTGAAGTCTCCCTTTATATAATCCTCTATACATAATCATTAATAGTTGATAGTATGAGTGCCTGAAGAATACTTCCCTACATATTTACCTATAATTATATCTTAGTTCATAATCGGCGTAATGCCTAGAGTGGACACAGTACAGAGCATGAATTAAAGAATAAGTAGCTTATAATTGGAGGAACGCCTAGATCAGACACCGTGCAGAGCATGATTTAAGGGAAAACAGTTATACCAGGACAAGAATCCATGGCCCAGGCGGCAGCGTTCAGTATCGTAAAGATACCCGCTGTATGGCAGGCTGGGGGCGAGAGCCACTCCTCCTGATAAAGGAGTTGTGGGACCTTGCTCCAGTTCTTGTGGAAGGTGCCCTCGGACCGGCAATCCACCTTGGTGACTGTGAACTTTATCAGCTCCTGCTACTGTGCTGCTTGAAAAGCATCTTCCCATAGAACCCATTGGAAGCTGCCAGGAGGTGGCGGTAACCCTGACAGCTCTGTCACTGCTGTGTGACTTAAAGCATCCCCCATAAATCTTAGAAGTAGTTTTCCCATAGATAGAAGTATTGCACACTGCACCCTCTTCACTGCGCACGGCCCACCTTCAAGCCTCGGTGACCTAATGGGGGTGGACCCCTTACTGCACACGGCTCTTGCCTTCACTGGAACGGGCCCCTTGCTGCGCGCTGTCCATCTCCTGGCCTAGGTGCCTAATGGGGACGGACCCCATGTTTTATTGCTCACGACCCTATCACTGTCCTTAAAGATGACTTCACTCACTGCCCTGCCCCCTAACCTATACACAATAAATACTCACGCTTCTGGAGTGAGTGTTCGGGGCCTCGCCTGACTCCACTCATAGGTGGCGTGGCCCCTCGAGCCCAGCTGCATTTTCCTTGTACTTCTGTGTCCTGTCTCTTTATTTCTCGGATCCTGCGCCTCAGCACAGCATAAGGCTCACCCCACGACCCTGTGGGGTCCTCAGCCCTACAGCCGCGGGGCCGGGTGGGGCCAGGGTCGGCAGGGTGCGCCCCTGACCTGGCAGCCCTGCAGGCCGTGGCGCTGTGGAGCCTGTGGCGGGAGCACGTGTGCGGGTGGCCGGGCTGTGGCACTTCAGGTGCGGGTTGTGCCACTGGATCGCCTGGGACCTCAGTGGCCTCGTGGGGTTCCTGGAGCAGCACGGTGTGCCTGGTGGGCTTGGGGCCAGAGGCCCTGGGTCTGCAGGAGTTCCTGAAGGGCAGCTACTTTGCGGGAGGTGCGTCCTGTTTCAGCCGCAGCGGCGTGGAAACTCTTCTCTGAACTCAGGGTGTTCAGGTCCTTCTTGCCAAGCTCTGGCCCTTCTGTCTCCTGGAGCGGCCGTGATATGCCCACAGGTCAGCGTCCCTCCTCTCTTCCTGCCTCCCTGCCGCCGAGCTGGTGGCCCGGTGGTGCCCTGCAAAGACCTGGGCCCAGCAGCAGAGTCTGGGCGAGCTCTGCCCCGCCGGTTCCCCCTCTAGGACTCAGCCCTCCTCTGAGGAGGGGGGACACCCAGCCCTGTTTTGCCCCTCCCGGCCCTGGGGGGGTGGGCTGGGCACGGAGGTGGGCAGAGGAACAGTGGGTGAGATGGAGGAGGGCGATCCTTGGTGGTGGTGGTTGGGGGCTGGTTCCGGGCCTGGGCACACACCTGTGCCTTCCGATTCCCAGAGCTCTACCTGGATGAGAGCAAGCAGCTTTATAAGGAGCTGGGCTTCAAGCGGTGAGTGAGGGCGGGCACCCAAGGGGCAGTGTGGGGTGGAGGGCCCAGGGGTGCCCACCACTCCCTGACACCTCCTGTCCCTGCTGCCCTTTGTGGTGCTGAGCCTTCCGGGGCAGGGCAGCTCTGGTGGCACTGCCGACCAGCCCTTCTGCCAGGCCTTCACTGTGGTGTAGCGAGCCCCCATACAGGTCTTGTTCTCGGTGTCCAGACCACCTGGGGCGGGGTGGAGCCTGGTGCCCCATCAGGGGCCATGCCAGCTTTCTGGTGTCTGTGCCACGGGCCGCCTCCCCTGCTTGGCAGCTGCCAGCTGAGCCAGATCCCTGGGCCCACCCAGCCTGGGGCCCTATCCGTGCTCCCTGAACCCTCTGTGGACCCTTGGCCAGCAGCCACTGGGGGGGGTCCAACCTGCCAGTGGGCTGGGCTGCTGCTGATCCGGCAGCCTGTGCCATCTGTGAGCCCTGGTGAGGCGGGTGGGTAGGGTGGGGTGGGTGGGACTTAGGAGCTGGTCTCATGGCTGCTGGAGCAGGCCCCGGACCCAGGCTTCTCCGGAATCTGGCCGAGCGTGCTGGTGTCTTCGCAGGTACAGCAGCCTGAGCATCCTCCCTGCGGCCCTGGGGAAGCCCGTGCGCGATGTGGCTGCCCAGGTTTGTGCCGGCCAAGGCTGTGCCGGACGGTGGTGGTGGGAGCTCCCAGGGGCCTTCCCTCTAGGTCTGACCCAGGCTCTGCCCTCTCCTGGCAGGCCAAAGCTATCGGCATCCAGGGGAACCTGTCTGGGACCTGCTGCAGAGTGGAGGGCTGCTGGTGGTCTGTAAAGGTAGGTTAAGGGAGGGCCCAGTAGCTGCCTCAGGGAGGCTTGCTGCACTTGGTGGCCCAGCCCAGGCCCTCTCTCTGCCTTGTCAGCCTCATCACACCCCCTCCTCTGCAGCGGGCCAGTTCCGCATGTCTGCTGGGCTGGGCGGGGCTGCGGCAGAACAGCTCACTCATCTGGGTAGGCGGGTGGGGGGCATGGCTGGCCAGGGCTGCCCCGCTTTCCCTCCTCCGAGTGGATGGGTGCAAAATGCAGGCTGCCTCCAGGGCGCCCTGATGGCCTGCCCGCCACTGCGGGTGGTGACACAGGCAGCCTCTGGGTGCCCTGACTGCCCGCCACTGCGGGTGGTGACACAGAAGTGCTGCTGCCTTTCGTCCGGAAGTCTGCAGGCGACTACGTTCCCCGGGAGCGTATCTTGCAGGTCCTGGGCATGTCTGCAGAGGTGTGTGCCAGCGGCCACCTAAGGTGAGCTGGGCCTTGGGGGCACTGCCTGCCAACCCACGCCACGCCCCCAGGTCCCCTGGGAGGAGCTCTTGGCCTGGCTGGGAGCTGAGCCACAGCCTCTCGGGTGTCATGCCAGTTGTGCCCTGGGATGTGGATGCCACTGTGACCCCACTTGCAGAGGGGGCAGGCTGAGAGGGGCAGAAGGGGAGTATGGCTGGATGGACAGACACTGTGGGGCTGTCCTCAGAGGTGGGGGCTGCACACAGGCAGGGGCCAAGGGGCCTGTCCTCTCCGCCTTTGGGGGTTGGGATTGTCTGAGGGACCTGTCCTCTCTGCCTCGATAGGGCTGGGATTGTCTGAGGGACCTTGTCAGGCATTGCTGTGGTCCTGGTGACCGACCTCCTATGTCCTGAATGGAGGGGAGTGACCGACAGGTTGGGCTGCCTCGTGTCCCTCCTGTCCCTGTCCCCGCAGTGTGACAAAGGGTTGTGAGGGGGGTGAAGGCCCTGGCCTCCAGGATCTGGGAGGTGTCTGCTGCCCTGGGTGAGCAGGCAGTCAGCCTGGAAGAGCTGTTCTGGCGCCGCTGGGCCGGGCTGCTGAACTTCTCCTCTGCGGACAGCAACGAGCCTTAGACCTACAGTTCCTGGGCGAGCTCCGAGCCCTGCAGCCCCCGTGGCCCCCACCTCGCTCGCAGGGCAGCTGTGAGTGCCAGGGGTCACCGTCCTGCTTTGCGAGTGTCTCTGGAGACCTTGGGCCTTCAGCTTGTGCGCCACTAGGGAGGGGATGGTGACCTCACTGCCCTGTCACTCCCTTCAAAGGCGACAGACCCCAGCCCATGTTGGGAGAGGAGCGTGGGGTCAGGGTGAGGCTCCAGCAGGGCGGGGTCAGTGCCCGTGTGGTGGGAGTCACTCAGGAGAGTGGGTTTTCAGGGCAGAGATGGGCTTGATTCCACCTGGTGGGGCCACAGATCCTGGGGACCCTCAGGTGATGGGCCAGCCCGCTGTAAGGCCCTTTCCTGATGTCAGAATCACTGCACCCGCTGGGGATGGCCTGGGAGGCCTGTGGGGCAGCAGCCCGGGAGGGTCTTGGTCCAGTTAGGTATGTCCAGCTTCCTGGCCACCTTTCCTTGGGGGTCCCAACAGGTCCAGAGCAGAGCCCCTCACCTCCCAGGTCAGACTCCCTGCTCAGGGCCCTCCCCTCCCATGGAGGCTGATGACAACCGCAGCGCTCCCGGCACCCCAGTCCAGACCTGGGGACCACTGTGGCCTCCTGCTGGCCTCCCGGCTCCCTTCCTGCCCCCAGCCCCACCCTCGAAGGGGCCATTTAAAAAAACGCATAGCAGGGACCACACCCCTCTGTGTTCAGCCCGTCCTCTGGCTTTCAGTTACACAGCTAAAATTCCCGGCTCCAGAGGCAGCTCCGTAGGTTCCCCCGGTGTCCCAGCGGGGCTCCCCGCATCTGAACATGTGGTTCCTGGGGGCAGGCACTTGGGGGCACCCTGGTCACTGCTGACCCTGGACTGGACCCTGGGAAATCTGGCTGGAACCGGCTCCCTCACCCTCAGCTCCCAGCTGTCACTCTCCCCCTACCCCCAGGCAGCCGTCCTGCCCGAGGCCACTGCCACCTGTCTGCCCACCCTACCCGTCCCAGACCAGCAAGGCGTCTGATTTCTTTGAAGCATTTACTTAGCTCAAGTCTGAAGCTGTGGACACTGGGAGACAGTGCGCTTTGGAGGGTGGGCAGGACACAGTGGACCGTCACTGTGGGGCTGTGGTGGGGCGCTGAGCCCCGAGAGTGTCTGTGGAGGGGGCTCGGGGCCGGCACTGCACCGGACACTGCTCATCCCTGGGTGTCAGGCAGGTGGCTTTGCTGGAGGCCAGGCGCAGATGCCTGGCAGGCAGGCTTGGCACGGCCAGCTGGGCGGGGCATACGCTGGGTCCCCGCTGGCTGCACCTTCTCCACACAGAGGCCTCCCAGCGGCGGTGGGCGTGGGCTGCGCAGCGCGGCTGGGCCTTGGCTACCACACGCGGCATCGCTCCTTGGGGTGCATGGGGGTGCCCTGGGCGCAGTGGAACGTGTCTGCGAAGGCGGCCAGGTTCTGCAGCGAGCCCAGCACCCTGTGGGTGTGCGGGTGGGCCGGGGTGACTGATCAGGAGCTGCAGCGAGCCCAGCACCCTGTGGGTGTGCGGGTGGGCCGGGGTGACTGACCAGGAGCTGCGCATTCTTGCACAAGCACGGCCATCTTTAGTTCCCCTTAACTAGAAACCAGCCCAACGTCAGCCTGATGGCCAATGTCAGCATGACCAGAAACATGCCAGCCGTGAGATAAACTCCCTCCGACCAGAAACATGCCAACCCTGCAATAAAGCTTTCCTCACACAGCAACGTTCTGAGCCTGTGATAAGCTCTCCCTCCCTAACCCATTCTCTTACTTGGTCTGTAAGAGAATGCTCCTGAGTCAGCGAGAAGGCCCACTCAGGTTCCTTCCCAAAGTAAACCTGTTTTTGACTGTGGAGCCGCTTTTTGTGCTGATTTTTTCTTTAACTCTTACAGGTCACTGGGGTGGGGGCGAGGGGGTCATGGGTGGCAAGGGGGGTGTGGGCATGGGAGCACTTGCCTGTATTTCAGGGGACTGTGGACGTCCGTCTTGATGGACTGGATGGCATACTCGGGCCGGTAGGACCCGCACCATACCTGTGGGCGTGTGCGGGGCGTGGTTATAGACCATGGGGTGGGGTGGGCGGGAGGGGTGGGGAAGGGTATCCACCATCCCCAGGCTGCCCCTTCTAGGGTGGGGTGGGGGGAGCCAGTGGGTGTCCCCCTCCTCCCGTCAGCACTGGACTCCTCTCCCGCTCCCGCCCCTGCCCCTCATGCTTTTCCCCCAAGGGGCCTTCCACGCTGGGCTCTCGTCCCCAGAGCGGGTCCTCCAGAGATGAGCAGGGAATCGTGGGGACGGTGGGACCAGAACTGCGGCTGCCACCTGGGCGTAGTTGATGAAGAAGAGCTGCTCGTGGGTGAGAGCTAGGCCGGGCAGCTGCTGGTCCTTGCCGCCCTCTGCCATCCACTTGAGGTAGGCCTGCAGGCACCGGACGGGAGCTGGGCTCGGGCCTGCCAGCCTGGACTCCAGAGCCCTCAGGTGTTGGGGCAGAGCAGAGGTCTGGCTCCAGGACCTACCCCTGTGGGGGTACCGCTCCTGCAGGGACCCTGTGCAGGGCCCCTTCGCAGACCCCATGGGTGAGCGCCCACCACCTCAGTCACTCAGGGAACCCTGAGCTGGGCTCTGGGGGGATCCCTGGCCAGGCAGCCCACTGCACAGCACCCGTCCTGAGCAAGCCCTGGCGCCCCATCCCCTGCCGGGGTCCCAAGCGAGCATCCCATCCCCTGCTGGGGTCCCAGCGAGTGCCCCATCCTCTCCTGGGGTCCCCAGCGAGGCCAAGCGCCCCATCCCCTGCGGGGCCCTGAGTGAGCGCCCCATCCTCTCCTGGGGTCCCCAGTGAGCCCCAGCGCTCCATCCCCTGCGGGGCCCCATCCCCTCCGGGCCTCACCTGGTAGGCTTGCCGCACCCCTCCATTGTCCGCAATGTTTTCCCCAAGGGTGTTGAATCCGTTCACCTGCGCATAGGAGCCAGGATTGGGGGCAGCTGCAGCCCTGACTCCCCTCTCCCGCGTGACAGGGCTGGGGCTCGGGTCCCCTCAGCCTCGGTGCTGGTGGCAGTGCTCACGTTCTGCTCCTCCGCGAGGTCCCAGGAGTAGTTGCCGTACTGGTAGATCATGCACTCCGACTGCTCCCGGAAGTGCTGGCTGGAGAAGTTACTCCACCAGTCCATCATGTTGCCGTTCTTGTCGAAGTTTCGGCCTGGGCAGGGGCAGAGGAGGGCTGCCCACACAGTCCTGGCCGCGCTGCGCCTGGTGTCTCCTGCCCCCACTGCAGGCAGTCCCACCACAGAGAGCCCACTGTCCTGAGCAGGCTGAGCCTGAAGAGTGTCTCGGGCTCCAAGGGGCAGCAGCTGTCTGGGGCTACACAGCCCCCCAAAGAGGGAGGCCTTTAGTGGCCTCCCATGCCACCCCCTGAGGCCAGGGCCCAGCACCTGGGTCCTGAGGTCTCGAAGGCTCCGCGGTTTAAGGGCTCCTTCTGTGATGCCCAAACTCTAAGCCCCAGGTGAGGGGAGCACGTGGTCCCTGGGGACATGGGGCTGCCCATGGAAGGTCCTGATGGCTGAGCCACAGGGGAAAACCAGCCGGGGCCCCTGTCGCAGGAAGGGTGGTCCCCCCTGAGTGGCAGAAGTCGGCATGGCCATGGCAGGGCTGGACACCCCCGGAGTGGAGGATGCCGGGTCTGGAGAGGCCCCCAGGCCGGGATCCGGCCTTCAGTGCTGTGCTGGACAGTGCTGTTGTCCCCACGTCACAGGCCGAGGGAGGGAAGTGCCCAGTGCCAGGTGGAGTCAGGGTCACGAGCTGGAGTCCCTGGGTCTCTTCCTCTATGGTGGGAGTCGACGCCCCCATGTAGGACCCCAGCCTAGCAGTCAAGGTCTGCTCTGCCCCCACAGCTCCCTGGGGACCTGGCCTTGTGTCCCCACTGAAGCCACGAAAGGGTTGAATGGGCCCCCCCCCAGACCCCTTTCCGCTCTTCTCCATGGAGGGGGAGGGCGCGTGTGGTCTGAGCGGCCCTCACCCCCCCAGACCCCTTTCCAGCTCTTCTCTGTGGAGAGAGGAGGGCGCGTGTGGTCGGAGAGGCCCTCACCGCTGTCGTCGAAGCCGTGCGTGATCTCGTGACCGATCACCGTTCCGATGCCGCCAAAGTTCAAGGCCTGTGGCTGCTCCTCGCTGAAGAAGGGAGGCTGCAGGATCCCGGCAGGGAATACTGTCCCCAGGGGCGGGACAAAGGACAAGCTGTGAGTGGACGCGTCTCCCGTGTGCCAGGCTCGGGGACGGCGCCGCCAGGGGTTCTGACATTCCATCCCACAGACCGGGAGGTAGCGGTCAAGACCCCTCAATTTACAGATGAGGACACAGAGGTTCAGAGGCTGGGCGGGCTCGTGTCTGGTTGGCCCAGGACCCCCGTTGGGCCTCCTCCCACCTCCTGTGCAGTCCCTCCTGGACCACTCATGGGCACAGCAGCGAATGTTCCCCTGGGGGCAGCAAGGGGTGCCGTGGGAGAGCGGGTGCCTGCTCCCCTTCTGAGAACAGGCTGGGGTGCCCCCAGGAGGAAGGGTTGGCAGGAGTTGGCACGCCGCCCCTTCAGCTCTGGCACCAAAAGGCCCATGCGGGTGGGGAGGGGAGGAACTTACCGATCTGGTTTCGGTTTGGGGAGTAGAACGCATTGACCACGGCAGCCCCGATGATCCAGCTGTGATTGACAAGCCCGTCTCGGGGAGCCGCTTCTCCCGGGACCCTCTGGCCCCTCCCTGCCCCGATGGACCAGAGCCCACCCCAGCCACACTAGAGCAGGGGGCCAGGCCTATCCCAAGATCTGGTTCCTTCCTGGGGTCCCTGAGGAGGGGGAGACTTGGGCCCCAGAAAGCAGACTCCGTCTGAGACGGGCCCCGTGACCGCCCCTCTGAGCTGCCACTGCACCCCAGCCACGCATCCAGTCCCCACGCCCAGCAGGTAGCCCTGCATGCCTTGACGACCACTCCCTGCCCCGCCCTTGCTGCACCAGTGATGGCACTCACAGATTCGGGTCCACCTTTTCCCGAAGCCTCCTGAGGCTCCGCTGGGCGCCCACCTTGAGGTTCTGCAGACCGTTCTCAAAGTACAGGTCCTCTGAGAAGTTCAGCTATGGGAGAGGGCCAGTCACTGCCAGGTGCTTGGGCTGGGCCCTCAGCAGGGCAAGGGGAGAGGTCCTGGGTGGTTGGGGAAGGACCTCAAGCCTTGCCAGGCATCCGCACGTGGGCAGCTGGCTGTGGGTGCAGGTGAACCTTGGCAGTGAGCGTTTACATGACTCTGAGCAAGTCCCTCATCCCCCCAGGCCTCAGTTTCCCCATCTGTACACTGAGGGTAGTGCTGGAGCCACCACCCTAGGGCATGGTGAGGACAGTGGTGTTGATGCCTGGGAGGAGGGCGCAGGGCTTGGCACAGAGCGCCCCCCAGCCAATTTGGGCCCCATGTCCACCATGTGGGGGGTGGTTTGGGACTGGGGTGGCTACAAGGGGACAGGCAGGCAGCAGTGGGGGGGTGGGGCGCACGCTGGAATACTCCTCATCCAGGCGCCTGTTCCTCTCCTCCAGGATGTAGTCAGGGTGGCCGATCTGCTCCCGGATGCTCATGGCCTGAGTGGGGAGGAGGGGCCGGTCAGTGGCTGCCCCACTGCGGGAGGGGTCGGCTGGGGACCTGGTCAGTGGCTGCCCCACTGCGAGAGGGGTCAGCCTGGGGCATCCCAGATGTGCTCTCCCTGTCCTGTGGGTGAGGGGCTGGGGAGGCTCTAGGACTGGGCCCCCACCTTGCAGGCTCTTGGGAGGTTCAATGGGGACAGAACATGGGGGGCTCTGCCCAGCTGACTTAGAACCCAACAGCCCTCCAGGGGTCCGGGTGGGGGCCCCAGAGGGGTCACTTGGCTGCCATCTGTCACTTGGGTCCAGAAGGGCTTCTGGTGGGTCTGACCCTCACTCCCGAGGTCACCGCTACTCCCACTGGCTCCTGGGGAGTCCGGGGGATGTCCCAGGCCTGGTTCCCACTCCCGCCTGCTTTTCCTCAGCTCTGCAGTGGGTGGGTGGTCCTGTCTGTGCCTCCCGGGACGGCCCTCTCCCCGTGGGGGCCGTCGGGCGGGTCTGTTGGGCTGGCTGCCCGTGCCCAGGTCCGGTCGGGGCTGCCCAGCCTCTGGGAGCCGCGCACCTTCTCTCGCGCCTTCTCCTTGGACTCCTCGTCCATCCAGCCCAGCTCATCCAGCGTCTCCACGAACACCGCCCGCACCTTACCAATGAGTTCTCTGACCTGGGAGGCAGGCATGGCCCTCGTGTCCCAGATTCGCCTGGAGCCTTCGAGGGTTTTGGGGAGGTCTAGTCTGACCCCACTGGGGCAAGGCCCAGGGCCGCCCAGCTGTGAGGCCTCTGGGGTGAGGTGTGGGGCGGGCGGGGGATGACCCCCCCTCAAGGGCCTGGGGCAACTTGTACCACCTGTGCTTTTCCCAGCTGGACCTGCAGGGCCCAGGAGTGGGGCCCGATGGCTGCTGGGGTCGGGGGCACGGGGGTGGGAGGGAAGGGCTTCGCTTGGCCTCCCTCTGTCTGGTGAGCTGGAGCAGGCGTGGTTCCCCCAGCTGCCCCTGAGCCTGGGTGGGGAGGCTGCATGTCCCCGTGGAAGGCTGGCCCTTGGTGGGCCATGGATGAGGTGCCCACCATGCTCTTGCTGTCTCCGGGGAAGGCCTCCCTGACGTAGAGGGAGCCCACGGCGCTCTCCATGTTGCTGTTGACGTAGCCCACACACTCACGCCAGCGCGCCTCCTCCACCATCGTGCCGAACAGTGCCTGGGGGCCACCGGTCATCACACAGGCACCTTGTCAGCCTCCCCAGGCCTGGTGGGGTGCCCTGGGCTTACGTGGGGAGCAGACCTACCCATCCTCAGGCTCAGGGTGCCCTGGGGCCTGGGGGGGGACGGATGGTCTCAGCCTCACCTCTGGGTGCCACTGCGGCCGGGGGAGGATGGGGGTGCCATTGTGAGTTGGGGGGCTCCCTAGACGAGAGCTGGGCCATTACCCTGGGGAGTTGGGGGAGTTCCTCCCTGGCCCCTGTCCTGGTTGTCCGGCTGGACTCTGCTCTCCAGGACTCCAGCTCCAGTCCCAAGGCACAGGGCTGGTGCTGACCCCAGAGCCGGACCTGGGACCACGTCTCTCTCAGCCACCAGCTCCTAGGCCCTGCTCCCCCCATTGCTGAAGCAGCTGTGAGAACACCTGCTCATCTGTCCCCAGGGACCCAGGGGCATGAGACTCGGCCCCAGGCTCAGGCCAGCCCAGGGACAGCTGTGCCCATGGTCCCGCCACACCTTGCGCTGCAGGATTTCCTGCCCTCCGGGAAGGGAGGTGGCCGTTCCATCTCCCCAGAGCTCCTAGACCCAGTGCCCCCCTGAAGCTTGGCTCGTATATGTCTCTGACCCCCCATGGCAGCAGGAGGCTTGCCTGTGCCTCAGCCTCTCCATCGCAGTGGGGCCTCTGTCCCTCCCAGTACTCCAGCAAAGGTCTTGAGAGTCCCGACTCCCCTCTGCCCTTAGCCCCTATACCCAGCCCCTCAGCCGCTGTGGTCCACACCTCCCCTGGGTCTGTCTGTCTGCCAGCGCCCTGGCCAAGCCCATCACCTCCCCCGGTGACCACATCGGCCTCTATGCTGACCCTGCCCCCTACTCAGCTCACTCTCCCCAGAACAGCCAGAATGCCCCTAGGGCCTCCGTGTCTCCACCCTCACCCCAGCCCACGGCAGCCACAGTGACCACAGGAGCAGGAATCTGACCGAGTCTCTGCTCTTAGCGCCCCAGCGCCTTTCAGACAGGAGTACAACGCAAACTGGCGGCTGCGGCTGGCGGTCCTCCCCTCCCTCCCTGCCCTCTTCTTTTCCTGTCCCCTGCTGACCCCAGTCCGGCCCCTGGCCTCTGCCTGCTCGGCCTCGGGTCTGCCCTGGCCCTGGCTGTTTCTGCTCCTGGGAAATCACCCGCAGTCACCTCCCTGGAGCAGCGCTCCCGCCCTCGTCCTCCCCGACACATCATGCTCTGTGGTTCTGGCAGAGCCGCGTTCTGCTTCGTTGACTGCTTATGGTCGACCCTCCACCAGGATGGGCGCCTTGCCCCGCCTCGTCCCTGGCTGGGGCCCTGGTGTGGACCTCGGTGCTCACCCACAGCGTTTGCTCAGCACCGTGGCGGGGATGAGTGAGTGATGGGCCAGGCTCGGCGGCGGCGGGGCTTACCCTGCGGTAGTTCACCCGTGTGTCTTTGAACCTCTGACTCAGGCTGCCAATGCGGTCCTGCACCAGGCGCCAGACCAGGTAGTTCTGTATGGTCCTGGGGCAGAAGGTAGAGGGTTGTGGGGGACAAAGGCGAGTGGTCTCTGCAAGGGAGGGGATATGCTTAGGGCCCCTGGCCGGCGTGTTCCACCCCAAGCAGAGTTATGGGTGCTGGAGAAAGCCTCCAGATCCAGCCAGTCTGCCCCGGGGGCGTGGGATGCGACACACCTGTAATGTGAGGCTCCACTGGCCACGGAAACTTAGGCCCTCACGTCCCACGCCCTCAGGGCAAATGCTTCATAGGGTCCCCTCCTGGGAGCAGAAGCTGCGTTGGGGAGGATGGGAGAGCTGGGCCCGTGCTGAGGCCTTCGGAGCCTTCCCTGGGCCTCACCTGGCTGGGTAGGTGTCGAGGATGCTTCCGAGGCTCTGCAGGTAGGGGATGCCGTACACCACCACCTCCTCATCCGGCAGCAGCTCGATGTTCACAGACGATAGCACGGTTTGTATGAACAGAGTCCAGTTAAATCCCTGCAGACAGAGCAAGTGGGGAGAAGAGGGAGAGAGGGAGAAACAGTTCCTGGGAATCCAAGAAAGAAATCCAGCCCCCATTGAAGAATGTCCGAGGAATAAGAGAGAAGGTGCCGGCAATTGGAATCAGGAAAGGGGGGCAGCATTATTCCAGAACCTCCTACAGCTGTAAAAACACAGGCGATTGTGCAGACATATGCAAAAGCTAAGTATAACTGGCAAATTCCTAGAAAAACACAACTTAGCAAAAATGAAAAAAAAAATAGAAAATATGAATAGTCTTCCAGGTTAAATCAATGGAATCTTTAATTTGAAACATTCCCACAAATGAATTTCCAGGCCCATCTGGCTTCATCAGTGGATTCTATCTGATATTTAAGGAAAACTGCCATCTTACTAAAACTTTCCAGAGATGAGAAAATGCTTTTCAACTTGATTTATGAGGCTAAGAATAACCTTAATACCAAAATAAGAATATCAGAAGCAGAGCAAATGATAAGCCAGTCTTATTTATGTTACAGGTACAGATGTTCTAACGAAAATATTAGCAAATGGAACGTAGCATATAAAATGCTAATACATCACAGCCAGATTAGATCTATTCAAGGAATACAAGTTTGGTGTAACAGTGTAATTCACCAGGATAACTGAATAAAGGAGGAAAGTCACAGATAGTTTCAACAGATGCAGAAAAGGCATTTGATAAAATCTGCCATCTATTCATCATAAAAACTCTTGGCAACGTAAAAAGAGAAGGGGCCAGGCGTGGTGGCTCACGCCTGCAATCCCAACACTTTGGGAGGCTCAGGTGGGCGGATCACCTGAGACTAGGAGTTCAAGACCAGCCTGGCCCACATGGCGAAAGCCTGTGTCTACTAAAAATACAAAAATTGGGCCGGGCGCGGTGGCTCACGCCTGTAATCCCAGCACTTTGGGAGGCCGAGGCAGGTGGATCACGAGGTCAAGAGATCGAGACCATCCTGGTCAACATGGTGAAACCCCGTCTCTACTAAAACTACAAAAAAATTAGCTGGGCATGATGGCGTGTGCCTGTAATCCCAGCTACTCAGGAGGCTGAGGCGGGACAATTGCCTGAACCCAGAGGCGGAGGTTGTGGTGAGCCGAGATCGCGCCATTGCACTCCAGCCTGGGTAACAAGAGCGAAACTCCATCTCAAAAAAAAAAAAAAAACAAAAAACAAAAATTAGCCGGGCGTGGTGGCGCACACCTGTAATCACAGCTACTCAGGAGGCTGAGGCACAAGAATTGCTTGAACCCGGGAGGCGGAGGTTGCAGGGAGCTGGGATCACTCCACTGCACTCCAGCCTGAGTGACGGAGCAACACTCTGTCTCAAAACAAGAAAAGAAAACAAAAGAAAAATAGACGGAAAGTTCTATGATCTGATAAAGGAAACGTATGAAGCCGCAGCAGCAGCAAAAACAACTCCACAGCAAACATAAAATGGATTCATTTATTTATTGATTTATTTTTGAGACAGACAAAAATTACCACGCCTGGCTAATTTTTGTATTTTTAGTAGAGACAGGGTTTCACCATGTTGGCCAGGCTGGTCTTGAGCTCCTGACCTCAGGTGAGCCACCTGCCTTGGCCTCCCAGAGTGCTGGGATTACAGGCGCGAGCCACCGCACCCGGCCAAACGTAAAATTTCATGGCAAGGTGCTGCCGGCGTTTCTTCCAACGTCTGCTGTCGTGACATCAGCATTATGCTCCAAGTCCTGGGCAGTCCAGGCAGGGGGCTCATGCCTGTAATCCCAGCCCTTTGGGAGGCCAGAGTGGGAGGATTACTTGAGTCCAGGAGTTCAAGACCAGCCTGGCCAGCACAGAGAAACCCCGTTTCTGCAAGAAGTCTGCCAGGGTGTGGGGTGGGGTGGGGGTGTGGCCTGCAGTGCCGGCTCCTCTGGAGGCGTGAGCCCAGGAGGTCAAGGCTGTAGTGAGCCGTGACCGGGCCACTCCACTCCAGCCTGGGTGACAGAGCGAGACATGTCTCAAAACAAAACAAAAAAACCCAAAGCCCCTGTTGTTTTTCACAAATGCCACGATTCTGTGTATTCTACGCATAAGGGTAAGACTGCCTGTGTACAGTCAGTGTTTCCACATACAGCAGCAAATAAGAAGGTAGACAATGATTCTATGTACGGGAGAAACACCAGACACCCAGGAATATATCTAATAAAATATGTGCAAGAACTTGACGTTGAAAACTTTAAAAGTTACGAAGATAAACTGAAGCATAAATAAATGGAAGCATATACCAGGTTCATGGATGGGAAGACTCAGCCTTGCAAAGATATCAATCTTCCCCAAATTGATACAGAGATTCAAAGCGATTCCTATCCAGTTTCCAGCAGGGTATGTGTGTGTGTGTGTCTGTGTGTGTGTGTGTGTGTGTGTGTGTGATTTTTATTTTACATGAAAACGCAAAGGACCAAGGACTATCAAGACCCTCTGAAGAACAAAGTTGACACATGCTCCGCTGAGTGTCAAGACAGTATAAAGCTGTGGGGTGATGGTGGAAGGGGTTATCACTCGGATAGATAAAGAGACCAGCGGGATGGAAGAGAGTCCAGAAATACACATACAGGCCCCCGCATAGACTCACAGGAGCAGCTGATTTATGACATGTAAGTCGCCCAGACCAGGGGCTCACAGGGGGTTCTTTTGAATAAACGACACTGATTATCTGAAAATTCATAAGAAAGAAACGATGCCTACATCTCACTGTCCATTAAAAAAAGTAAACTCAAAGTAGATTGTAGACCTAAGCAAGCTTGAGGGTAGGCAAAGAGTTCTTCAGCAGAACACAAATAATACGGACCAGGAAGAAGAGATCAGCGCGTCTTTGCTGAGTCAATCCATTGGACCGTTCAATCATTTCGTGCGAAACAAAGAAGCCCTCGTGGGAGGAAAAGAGCAAGCTGCCCGGTGGGGAGAAGGTTTGTCCACATAAGCTGACCGGGCATCACATCGAAAACAGGTAACTCTAATAATCAGTGGGGGAAAGATCACTCGACAGAATGAATGGGCAGGACTGGAACTGACGTTCCACAGCAGGGACAGCACTGGCCGGCTGACAGGAGGTGGCGTTCAGCGTCATCGGATTTGGGGAAAGTCACATGGAACCCAGCTGAAACCCACTACCCAGGCCCAGAAACGGCGAAGACGAGACCGGACACCGCCCAGGCTGGGTGAGGGTGTGGCGCCGGCCACTACCGGGGAACACACGTCCATCCGGGATGACTCTGGGGAAAGACAGCGCCTGTCACTGTTGAATAGACGTGCGCTGCCCCCGGCAATTCCACTCCTGCCCACTTGCCCGCCACAGGCACGCACAGGAGTGGGCACCACGTCACCCGGAAAAGGCCCAGAGACAGCACGGCGGGACCCGAGTTGTCGAATGTTCTCAGAGTCAGAGGCCGCTCAGCAGGTCGAGAGGCCATGGCAGGGACGGGCCTCCCTCCAGGGAGAAGTCGGGGTCGTCTTCTCCAGGGAAGGAGGCGGGCACAGGGGCTAGGCAGGGGCATGTGGGGGCTTCGGGGGTGTCGGTGGTGATGAAGTCTTCATCTGAGTGGTGGTTGTATGGACTTGTTCACTTCAGGGAGATTCTGAACATCATAAACACATTGTAACCAAATGTCCCCAAACCCTGGGCTCCCGGACACTTCTGGAACCTGCCCCTGTGATGTCTCCATGGCAACCTCAGCCACCTGAGCTCTCTCACTTCCATATTTAGTCTGTTCGAATGCTGTTGGCTCTACCTCCAAAATCAACCCCGAAGCCACCTCCACCACGGGCACCCAGCCGTGGCAGAGCTGGGTCCCTTGCCTGGCAGCCCCCGATCGGCCTCTCTGCCACCTGCCCCGACTCCTTCACTCACTCTTAATGGTGAACCAGGCCACCTCCTGTCACACCCCTCTCGGGCAGAGTCTGAGACTCTCAAGTGGCCCCCGAGGTCAGACACGGCTCTCTCACTTGACTTCTACCTGCTCTCTCTCCAGCCCCAGCGCTCACTAGCCGGGAGTCCCTGCCGCAGACCTGTGGGAATTGCTGTGGGGGCCACACTGGCCCCAGGTGGCCATGGCCCTTGGTTCTCCGCAAGGCTTCACCTCCGGCCTGCTGTCCTGTTTGAGCTCATCTGCCCCCTTTCCCTCTTTCCTCTCTCACCCTGGAACCAAGGGGATGAAGACTGGCCCCACTGGGTGGGTTCAGGGAGTGACAGGCTTTGGGGCCGGGGAAGGTGTGTCCCCGCAGGCCAGCCCTGGGGACCCGCACCCATCCAGGGACCACCAGTGCCCTGGGCCGAGGCTTTCCGCAGAGTCTGCCTTGCCCTTGGCGAGAGCTGTGGCCCCAGACACTCAGGGACATCCTTCAGTTGGGGGGCAGGGGTTTGGACCCCCTTCTGCCCTTGCCCTCCCCTCTCTGACTTGGGTGTCCTTTGCGGCAGCTGCACGCCTGGGGACGGAGAACCTCGAGAAGGCCCGCTGCTCCGAGTTGTCTGAGAGGGTGGGGGACTCGCCCCTTCCCAGGCTGGGCTGCTCCTCTCCAGCCCCCACCTCAGATCACAGGGTGGGGCCTGACCTGGGCACTGGGGAGGAGAGCTCTTGAGGGTGTGGCCAGGGGAAGCTGCTCCATCTGGCAGGCAGGGCCAGGAGCCAGCACCATGCTAAGGTTCTGAGTGGGACCCGGGGTCCGAGAGCCCTGGGTGGGACTGCACACCCCCAAACACCAGCAGCCCCCGAGGCCGCCATCCTGCTCAGGAGGCCGCGGCCATCGCAGCACTGCACAGATGGGTGACTCTGTCCCAGGATGGTGCAGTGGGCACTGCTGTCCTGCCGGGTGACATGAGTAACCGTGCTGGCGCTGCTCTGAGCAGCGTGCTGGTGATCAGTTACAGGGACTCCCTGCTCGGGGTGGGGATGTTTCTGAGCTTAAATTCGAGGCAAGGTGCCCCCTCAGAGGGCCGCTTCCATGTCCCCCACAAGTCCCCACCTGCTCAGCACCAGCTTCCTGGGTGGTGTGGGCCTCACCTTCAGGCCAAACTGTCTTTGCAGCTCCTCCAGGCCCATCCGGTGGTACAGGGCGATGACATCGTGCCTCTCCTCCTGGGGGGCTGTGGCCTGCCAGGGACAGGGGTCACACATGTGGGCGGCCCAGATGTCGCCTGGGGCTCCCTACCAGCTCCCTGCCCGATCCCCACCTGCCTGGCCCCTCACCTTGGCCAGCCACACCACCTGGGGCTCCCTACCAGCTCCCTGCCTGATCCCCACCCGCCTGGCCCCTCACCTTGGCCAGCCACACCACCTGGGGCTCCCTACCAGCTCCCTGCCTGATCCCCACCTGCCTGGCCCCTCACCTTGGCCAGCCACACCACCTGGGGCTCCCTGCCAGCTCCCTGCCTGATCCCCGCCTGCCCCGTCCCTCACCTTGGCCAGCTGCGTCTCCAGCTCCAGCACCTGTGCCATGTCCTCCCACACCCGGCGGCTATCCCTGGGCAGGTTCTCTTCCTCCCGCAGCATCGTGGCCACCGACACCATGAGCTGCAGGTACGCTTCCCGCACCTGGGCCAAAGGACGCAGGGCAGGGCTGGGCGGGCTTGGCTACCATGGTCCCCGGGGCCTCTGTGGGGGTGGAGAGGGCGTAGGACATGGGGCAGCCTGGATGCTTGTCCACCCACCTTGGCCAGTGGGCTCCTGGGCACACAGAATGCCAAGCGGGAGCTTCTCAGACACGTGACCTGTGCCCGAGCCTCTGGCCGGGGGACCCACCCCCAGAGCTGCTGGAGGTTTAAACTGTGTGGCTGCCTGTAAGGGTTGGCACGGGGTGGGTGCTGGGGCTGTGGGTGCCGGGGTGGGGGGGTTCTGCATTTCGGGGACCGGGATGACCGTTCTGCCTCATGGAGCTGCCACTGAGCAGAGATTGTCTCTGGGCCTGGCCGGTGTGTTGAGGGAATGTCTCCTGGGATGGTGGCAAGCGACGGGTTACGTCTGCCCACCCTCCCCCCGCCTCAGTGCTGGGCTCACTACACAGGTGCTCACTACACCAGCACCGGGGAGTGAAGCAGGTGGGCGATGGGAAGGCCAGCCACGGGGTGGGGGCCACGGGGTGGGGGCCATGGGGGCCGGCGCTGCAGTGAGGCCCCACCCACCTTCCGGTCGCTACCGACGCTGAAGTAGTACTCTCGGGACGGCATGCCCAAGGTGGGCTGGTCTATCTGGAAACACAGAAGCTGTGACCCTGGCCAGGGGCCCAGGGGCGCCACAGCCTGGCTGAGGCGGGCAGCAGCCACCTATCCCCAGGACAGTGCCCCGTGGACCGGCGTTCTGCCCAGGAGCCCCTGCCAGAGCTGGTGCTCGACTTGGGAGCCCAGGCCCTGCTCTGGGTGATGGTGGGGGTGCTGGGCGGGGTGGGGTGGAGGGACCCGCAGCATCCACGGCTCCTCCAGACTGGGGTGCGTATTTGTTCCGTGTGTTTCTCTTTGGCCTCCAGCCCGTGGCCAGCAGTGGCTCTGCGAGGTCAGGCCGCCTGCCCTGGCCCCAGCCCTGCTGTCCAGGAGCCCCCGCACCTCTGACCAGAGCTGGGTTCTGCTTTGACTGCCAGCTCGGCCAGGAGGCTCCACAGGAACTCCACAGCCCACGGCCGTGGACAGGAGCGGGGAGCCCACCTGACCACCTGGCATGTCCCCCTGCTGTGCTTCCAGAGCCCCAGCCAGGCTTGGGGGCCCTGCCCACCCCTGCCCACCGGTGTGGCGCGTACGTAGATGACATGCCGGCTGGAGTTCTGGTCGTCATTCCAGACGAAGAGGTCGATGAGGACGCGCCTGTTGAACTGCGAGTTCATCAACGCCAGCTGCCGCTCCAGCTCCCACGTGAGGCCTGGGGAGGCAGTGCCCAGGCTGGAGACTGGCGGCCCTGGGGTCCCAGCCTGGCCCCTCGTCAGTGAATCTGGCCTCTGGAGCAGGAACTCAGGGGCAGAGGGTGGGGAGCTCACCTGTGGGCCTTGGGGGCTGGGGGATGTGGGGGACACTTTCTCTAACAGCCCCCAGGAGCAACAGGGGGGCCCCCCAGGGGATGGGGGGGTTGGGCGCAGCACCAGGTTCTCAGGGCTGCCAGCCACGTGGGGCACCACTCCTGCTCCCGAGAAAATGGAACGCAAGCTCAGAGTGGGGAGCCCTGGGGCGGGGGCTGGCTAGGGCCTGGGAATTGATTCCTCCTAGGGGGCGGGGAAGGGCGCCCCTCCGCAGGGCTGGATGGGACTGGCCACGGGCCACGGCCTCTCCAGCATGGAGCCTGAGCCACTTCCCCGGACCCTGAGGTTGCTGCGGCTGGGTTGGGCCTCTTGGGGCTTCTGAGAGCAGGCAGCTGGGGGTCAGGTGTAGGGTCCCCTCCTGGAAGGCCTCAGACCCAAGGAGACCTGGCAGGCGTCTCTTCTGTCTGCCTGTGAGGCTGCCACTAGGATTGGCCTTACCTACAGTCTCGTTCCACGTGTCCATGGCCACCGGCCAGCCTCCCACCACCTCCAAGGTGTCGAGCAGGGGCTGAGAGCCTCGCCTCTCTATCACACCTGAGGAGGGACGCAGCGGTCACTCCCCCAGCCTCCCCGTGGCTCACGCACCATGGCACAGCCCTGGGGACGCGGCTGGCCAGTGCAGGTGCGCACCCTCCCATCACAGACCAGCATCATAGCAGCTCTGCAGCGCGGGAGGTGGAGGCTCAGACTGGATGTGGGTGTGGAAGGAGACCTGGGGGCTGATAAAATCACACAAGCCCCGGGGGAAAGGAGGCTGACCGGTGGGAGCCCCTCGGGCCTGGGAGCCGGCCAGCAGGCGAGGAGGCTGGGAGAGGAGGGGTGGCTCTGGGTGCAGGCCGAGCTTCGGCGAGGACTCAGCGGTGGCACCGGGCATGCTGGCACGGGGCACGGGGGGGGCAGGAGAGCCCTCGGGTCCTGTGTGCGTTCTGTATCTCGGCTCAGCACGGTGGGGCCCCCACAAGCAGCTCAGGAGCACCACCCTCAAAGATGAGGGAAAAGGTGGGGACGCGGAGGGAATCACCGAGGGAATAGGTGACGACCACCAGAGGGAAAAACGAAGCATGGCAGGTGCCCCGTCAGACCAGAGGCCGGCAGGGAGCGGGAGGGCTTCCTGATGGCACAGGGGAGACCCGGGTGGGCGGAGTGGGGGCCGCCGACCTGGGGAGGCTGTGCTGGGCTCACTAGAAGCCAGGCTCCTCTGGGCTTGGCTGGGGCCCTATGCTGGAAGTGGGGACGGGCATTACAGGGGAAGCTGTCAGTTAGGAGTTGGGTCCCTGCTGTTTTGGGCGGGATGCTGTGGGCAGTGCCATCTGACCCCCTGGGCTGCCCACTGAGGATAAAGGGCTGGGTTCCCGCTGGGCTGCAGGATCCTGAGTCGAGTTCCAGGTTTCCATATGGTCTGGCCCCTGCCCTTTGCATATTCAGCCTCTCAGGCCAAAAATTAAGTAAAGATGGGGACTCAGGACATCGTCTCCTTGGGGATATTGGAGATATGGTGCAGACCGGGGGCCTGACCTTCAGTTTCCATTGGGAGGAGACAAGCCCAGTGCACCAGGCAGGGGTCTCACAGAGACACCCCCTAAAGCCAGGGTTCCAGTGAGTTCCACAGTCAGGCGGAGGCTCCACAAGACACCCCGGGGAGAACAGCCAGCTCTGAACCCTGGTGCTCAGCGGAGGCGACATCTCCGCAGCAACCACAGCCACAGGCTGGGCCTGCAGCCCCCAAGCAGAGGAGTTAAAGAGCACCGGGAGGGGTGCATCAAGCACACGAATTCCTTCAATGGGAACCGAAACATGGACGATCTGTCCCCTATACCACGCACACATCCACATGCACATGTGACACACACATATTCACATACACACAATACACACATAACACATACACACATGCACACAACATACACATATACACATACACACAAGTACACGCAGTACATACATACACAATACACATACATACACACATACATGCACACACAGCACACTACACACATGCACATGATACACATACACCATAGGCAATACACACATACACGTTACAACACACACGTGCACACACAATGCACACACACGTAAACACATGCATGCATATACATATATGTGCATACACAACACATGTACCCTCATAGACACATGCACACATGCACAAACCACATATATACATATACCCAGATACATGCATACACACATATGTATGCACATCTACATATGCACACATACATATACACATAACAAACATACACTCATGCATGCACGTACACATACATACTCATATACATATAATACACACACACACACACACACATACAGTCTTCCTGTAACCTGGAATGTGTGGCCCGTGCAGGGCTTGGGGTGTGACTGAGGTTGCAGGCCAGCTGGCATTACTGTGAGCCTGGACCCAGTGGCCGGGTGTGGGGTGCAGCACACAGGCCCTCTGGCATGAGTCCTGAAGGCACCCTGGGGGCAGCCATGGGGTCCTCGGGCTGCACCAGGCCCTGGCAGGGCAGCCCCCCCCGGTCCCCACCTCGGCCCCTTCCTGACGACCCCCACTCACTCTCGTTCATGCAGGAGCGGTACAGCGTCTTGGCCTTCTCCACAGCTGGCCGGTCCTTGGCCGTGGAATTCTCCAGCACCGCTGTGGGCACAGGAGAAGGTGGGACAGAGGCCTGATGAGGCCGCAGGGGCCAGGTCACAGGTCCCCACACCCCTGCAGCGCTCGGTGAGAGGCGGCTCCCAGGCTGCTGGGCCCTTATTCCCTCTCTTCTGTGCACACCGGACCAAGGAGGAAGCAGAAACAGGGGCGAGACACAGCCGGGCCCAACTCCTGGCCCAGTGCCGTCCCGTGGGGCGTCACCCGCTGCGCCCCCGCCGGGCTCTGCCACCTTTGAGGATGACCTCCAGCTCGTCGCGGAGGATGTCGAAGATGCTGTATCTCGAGTTGGTCTCGGGGATCACGTGGTGCCGCAGCCAGCCTCCGCACGCGAACTGGTAGAAGTCGTCACACGGTTCCGTGGTCGGGTCCATGTTCTGGAGGATCCTGGCGGCTGCTCGTCCCCATGGCGTGGAGCAGGGAGAGGAGAGACCGAGAGAGTTGTGGACAGCCCAGGTGACAGCCTGGTCCCTTGGGATGGGGCTGCTGTCCATCCAGTGCGGCTGTGGGCCCTGAGAGAGTTAACCACCCTCTCTGAGCTGCAGAGACGGCATCACCCAGCCTGGGTTCAGTGCTAGGGTTTTCACTCATTTATTTTTTGAGACAGGGTCTCACTCCGCTGCCCAGGCTTGAGAGCACTAGCATGATCAGCTCACCGAAGCCTTGAGCTGCCAGGCTTAAGTGATCCTCCCACCTCAGCCCCCCAGTAGCTGGCATCACAGATGTGCGCCACCTTGCCTGAATAGTTTTTTTAAAAAATTTTATTTGTAGAACTGTCATAGCAGGGCCTGGCTGCTGGAGGCTCAGGACTGGGGACCCAGTGGGTGCCAGACGCCATTAGAACACCAGCTCCCCCCGCTCCACAGCGAGTCCGGCCCACGCGGCTTACAGCCAGGTCTTGGAGCTGCTCCCCTGGGCCTTGGACAGGGCCTGTGCCCATGACAGCCAGGAGCCCCCAGCTCCAGGGCAGGCTGTGGAGGGCAAGGGGGCGGGGCTTACCTGCCATCACGCAGCCGGGGGTGGTGCAGACCTCGCTCCCCTCCTGGGACTCCGGGATCCCTGCGGGCAAGGAGCAGCCTGAGCACTGGAGCCGCGGAGAGGGCGGGGCAGGACTGGAGCGGGTGTGGGCGGGGCAAGGCCCGGTGGGTGTGGCATGGGGATGGGCATAGACTGGGGTGGGCGGAGCAAGGCCAGGGTAGGTGGGGGCATGGGCTGGAGCCAGTAGGGCGAGGCCCGGGTAACAGGGCATAGGCTGGGGTGGGTGCGGCGTGGACCTCCACCCCATCTCCCACTCCCATGGGTGGTCCAGCCTGGCAGCCCAGGTCCTCCCCAGGTGGCCTGGGCCTGAGGCCTTTCTGATGGTGAGCTTCATTCTTCGTCCTTGACCCCTGCAGGGACCTGGGAGCCCCTATACACCCTCTCTGCCTCTGTGGACCCCCACAGCCGCCCTGGGCCCCACGGACTGAAGCTGGCCATTCTCCCTCTTGCCTTCTGCCCAGCCCACGCTCACCTGCTGCTAGGACCAGCTCCTCCAGGCAGCCTGCCCAGCTGCCCTCTCTGCACGCCCTGCCCAGCCTGCCTCACCCCTGTGCCAGCCGGCGGAATTGAATGTGCCGAGGCCACGTAGGAGTTGGGCGGAGCGCCCACAGTGGCCAGCAAGCCTCCTGCGCCCAGCAGATGCACCCGGCTGTGGTCCCTGCCCCTGTCTCTCCCCAGGCCCCTCCTGCGGCATGTGAGGGTTGGGCAGAACCCAGCCTGGCCGCGGGCTCTCTGCCCCTCCACGAGTCCCCCGCCCCATGGGAGGCCTGCACCCACCTGCCAGGGCTACTTTGGAAGGGAAGGCCAAGGCTACCTCGGGTTTTTCGATTTACGAAGGTCCTCTCCTCCTGTAAGGGGCACAGCCGGCTAGCAAGGCGTGGCAGCTGCTTCCCTGGGGAGAAAGTCAGAGCTCAGCCGGGCCTCCCTGGAGCAACTCCCTGGGTGCTGGGTCCTCCCTGGGGCAGCACGCCGTTTCCCCACGGTGCTGGGTGCTGCAGCCCCGCCCCTGTAGTGAGGGCTGGTCCCCGGGGCAGGGAGACCGGAGGCCGCAGAGGGCGTGCAGGGGCTGCTCCACTGGCCTCCCGCTGGGCTTGAATGGGGGCGGTTTGCCCTGCCTTGCCACCCCCTTTCAATTCTGCCTCCACCCACCCCACGGTCCCAGATGTCCCAGGGCCTAGAGGGGTCCTGAGGGGCTTTCTCCTCCTGATAGCCTCGTCTACCTCAGGATCTTTCTGACCCCGGCCAGGCACACACAAGGTGGCATGCTCCTGAAGTCCCACGGGGCAGGCTCGTTTAGAGGGACAGGGCTCCTTCGGAGGGGGTGATTTCCCGCTGACTGATGACCCTCAACCGCAGCCAACCACCCTCACTGCCTGCTGAAGGTGCCAAGCCACCCTCCCCATGTCCCTCCACTGCCTGCTGGGAGGGGCCTGCCTGGTCAGCACCGGGGGCTCCTGGGATGGCCATCAACTGCCTGGAGAGAGGCATGGGAGAGGACGGAGGGCCGGGGAGAGGAGGGACCCCAGGTTCAGAGAGTTGATAAGCCAGGCCTGGCTACCCTCAGACCTGGCTTGGGGCTGAATTTCCCCAGCAGTGAGGCATGCAGAGGACGGAGTGGAAGGAGGGAACAGGGCTCGTTCGGGTCAGGGCTGTTGGCAGGCCTCGAATCTGGCCTAGCCCTGGGCAGAGACTGCAGAGAGAGAGAGCTAGAAGCCACAAAAATATCAGCCCCTTGGGGGCTTGGCCACTCGAAGGGTCATTAATCCAGCATTGGACGATGGCTGTGAACAGGCCACATGCTGGGCACTGGAGTTCAGACGTGAGCGCAGCAGGGCCCAGCCCTCAAGGAGCACCCCCTCCCACCAGATGGAAACAGAGAAAGGGCTGCGTGCTGCACACGTCAAGGCAAAGTGCTGAGGGCAGGGCTGAGCTTCAGAGCACAGGAACCCCAGGCCGGCAACGGAACGGGGTGAGTGCCAGTGGAAGACACGGGGTCCCCCTGTGGGGTTGCCAGTGTCGGTAACCCGGAGCCCGCGGACCGGAGACTGCACTGTGGACCCCAGAGGGCCCCACCTCAGCAAAAGAATGGATTAGAAGGACATGTGACCTCCGACCACAGTGGTAACAAGGACAGCAGGGGCTTTCTGCTTCTGACTGGGACGTAGAAAGTTGAAATTGACTGTGGCCCCCACCCTAGCCAGGAGAGCAAGCTGGAGAAGCCACAACATGGGCACGTTTAGAAACCACGAGCACCGAGGACACGGAGAAGCCAGCATGAATCAAATTCCAGAGAGGAACGAGGCCGTCCCAGGAGAGGAGAGGCCTGTGGCTGCTCTGCTTCTGGACTGAAAGCATGAGGAGGGGCAGACATGCCAGGCAAGGCCGTTCAAGCATGGCAGGACACGTCTGCATTTCCAGCTACTTGGGAGGAGGAGGTGGGAGGATTGCTTGAGCCCAGGAGGTTGAGGCTGCAGTGAGCTGAGATTGCATCACTGCATTCCAGCCGGGGAGGCAGAGTAAGACCCTGTCTAAAAAAACCCCAAAAAAACCAAAAACCAAAAAAACGCTATGAGCTACACGCTGTCTGATTCCAATTATGTGGCATTCTGGAAAAACAAAACTTCAGATGAGAGATGGTGAATCGTGGCTGCTAGGAGTTTGGGGCAATGGATGTGGAATAGATGAAGGACAAGGGGCTTTTTAGGGGCAGTGAAGGATTCTGTATGACACCGTGATGGTGAATGGTGAATGCTTTTGTCAAAACACACAGAACTTTATAGCACAAAGATTAAACCTTACTGTATGCAAATTAAAAAATCATTTAGACAGTCAGGAGATCCCAGGATGAAATGCAGAATGAGACTCGAGGTGCATGACAGACGTATTAAACAATGTGACGGAAATGAGCAGGGGAGTAAAGTGTTGGCCTAAGTCACTTTAGAAACGAGTAGAGTCTGTGACAGTAAAGGCAAAAGGAACCGTAGGTAAGTGCTGCGCTCTGGTTGAGAGGGCTGTTCTTCGTGGGGTCCCAGCTTAATTCTGAAACCACTACTTGTTAATGGAAAAAACAAGCAGAGAGCAGGTGGCGGGGCTGACTGCCGCTGCAGTGAGCAGTTACAGACAAGGAAAGGAAGGAGGTTGGCAGGGTCCATGTGGTGGCGGAGACATCAGTGTGAGCTCATTTTCGGCTTGATATAGAGGCAGATGGTGCACACAGAAATATTTACAGAGATGGGTGTCTAGATACCAACGCATTCCTGTGCTCTGCCAGGTGAGCTAGGCCAGGAGCAGCAACGAGCAAGGACTGGCGCTGAGCAGTGAGTAGGACCTGGCCCTGGCTTCTGTTGGTTCGTTTTTCACACACCACCTTATCCTAGAAGCTCTTGGTTTCTGATACCATTATCCAATAAAATGGGCTCCTTGGAAAATGGTCGATTGTACAACTAGGCAACTAGGGCAGGAAACATATGGGATGAGCTTGGGGCATGTGGAAGTGTCAAAAAGCAAGAAAGGGCTCCCTCCCCAAAACTCACCCCAAATTCACAGTAATGGGGATACGCAGACGGTCACGGAAGCAGCTGACAAGTCTCAATGGCCAGAGTCGGGACCGTTTGAGCAACGCAAGGTAGTAGTGGGTTATGATGCAAAGTATAAAATAAATCATTCACAAATCACCGAGCAAATAACCGAATGAGGGAGAGTAGACGAATCTCTCATACGAAGAATTCCAAACGCTTATGTAGACCCTCTGCCTCTAAGGATGTGGCACGTACCTGCCCGCTCCTCAGGGGTGGAGTTACGCTCACTGCACACAGTGACTTCCTTTCCAAGACTGCACTATGAAGAAGGGGAAAAAGTAACACTCAGTGCAGAAACCAGACACCACCTCCAGCCAGGCGATTAAGGTTCACGTCAACAGTGAGAAGTCAGTCACTGAGGCTGTGCCTTCCTCTCGAGCGTGATTACCCAGTCCAACCACGAGAAGACCATTCGGCTAATTCCAGCTGAGGGTCATTCCACCTGATCAGTAATCCTCAAGACTGACAAGATCATAAAAAACAAAAACAGACAGAAACACAAAGGAAGTCTGAGACACCATCACAGCCACGAGGAGCCTGAGAAGATGTGGTATTCTGGGTATGATCCCGTGACAGGAAGAAGGCATGAGGGGAAAACCGGAAAATCTGAATTGAGAATGAATATTAATTAATGGTAATCTATCACTATTGGTTTATTACTTGTGGCAAATGTATCATACTAATGCAAGATGCAAATAACAGGGGAGACTGGGTGTGGGGTGTGCAGGAATGTCTGTGCTGTCTTCGCAATGCTTCTGCAAATCTAAACTTGTTCTACATTTTTGAAACATTACTGAAGGAAACCTGAACAGAGGATCTCAGACCTGCAGGACAAAAGTAAATGGCTTAACATATACGTAACTAGAGACCCAGAGAACAGTCTTTGAAGAGAGAATGGCCAAGAAATCTTCAAAGTTGGGAAAAGATATAAATCTACCCCAAGAAGTGCAGTGTATCCCAAGCTGGGAAAACACGAAGAACATCATACCCAGCAGCATCGTGGTCAAACTGTGGAGGACTAAAGATAAAGAGAAATCCAGAATTAAAAACGTCCAGAAATACTTAAAAGCAGTCAGGGGAGCAGGGCATGGTCGCTCACGCGTGAATTCCAGCACTTTGGGAGGCTGAGGTGGGGGGATTGCTGGAGTCTGGGAGAGGGATGTTCTAGTAAGCTGTGATCACGCCATTGCGCTCCAGCCTGGGCGACAGCGTGAGACCCTAGCTCAAAGAAGAAAAAGAAAAAGAAAAGGCAGAGGAAAAAAAGAGACATAGTGAGGAGAACAACAGTAAGAATAATGGTGACTTCTCATCAGAAACGATGGAGACCAGAAGACGATGGAATGAGAACAGTAATACACCACCAGCTAAACACATTTCAAAAGTGAAAGTGAAATAAAGGCATTTTAGACCGAAGCCGAGAGCATTTGTCTCTACCAGAGGCGTACTGCAACGGATGTGAGCCAAAAGGTCGTCACTCAGAAGGGACGCAAAAACGGTGGGGAGACCAGATTGGTGGGCAGGAACGAGGGCATGGGGAAGGGCAGAGGGGGAGCAGCAAAGTGTGATTGGAGGCCCGGATCCAAACAGCGCCTCGCGTTCTTTCTTTCCCATCCAGTCAGATGTATCCAGAACAGATTCGGATAACTAAGGAGGCAAGTTGGTGCCTCCTTCATGCCCGCATCCCGTCCCTGCTGCCCCCCGCTGCGCCCCCAACATGGGATTTCCCCTGACCTGGTCGGGGGAACCCCCACGGAAATTCACCAGACGCTGCAGATCAGGGGCTGCCCGAGGGTGCGGTGGGCTCCTGCGGCAACGTTTTCAACACGGAGTTAGCTAGGCACGTTTTTACCCTTCACTTACAGTCTCATTTAAGGCAGGCAGATCACTGGAGGCCCGGAGTTTGAGACCAGCCTGGCCAACATGGCGAAACCCCGTCTCTACTAAAAATTCAAAAATTAGCCAGGCGTGGTAACACACGCCCGTAATCCCAGCTACTTGGGAGGCTGAGGTGGGAGAATTGTTTGAATCCGGGGGGCAGAGGTTGCGGTGAGCCAAGATGGCGTCACCGCTCTCCAGCCTGGGTGACAGAGCAAGTCTCCCTCTCAAACACAAAAACAAAAAAGAAGCTTGTGAGGTTGCCCATCTCTACTTTTCTTGGGAAACCTGTTGGGGAGGCAAGATCATACACCCAAGGTCACTTTCCTGGGGGAATGGCAGGGTTTGGACCTCCAGACTCCATACTGGTGTTCAACATCTCTGTTCGTCTAGGAGAATAAGCAGAAACAGTGAGACCCTCTGACACGATGGCTGAGAA